GAAATATAGATTTGAAATCAGTCTCTAATAACTCAGTAGAGCTGCTTCTATGTTTTTCTTTTTTAAGTGATGCCTCACAACAAATGTGTCAGGAACAACGCCTGACATGAGTGAGGTGTTTAGTATGTCCTCTGCTATTGAGTGAAACACGTTCTGTAAAAAGTTGGTTGGTAACGTGTGAAGACTGCAAGTGGAGGATTTGAGGTGACTCACTGTATCGATTAGAGTTTCATTACTGAAAGCACCAAACTGGGACATCTTAACCATGATGGAGAGGAGACGGGCTCTGTGGAGGATATAGATGTACTAATGGCTTGTCTGATATGATGGATTTTAGTTCTAAAAGGTATGCAAACACATCATATTTCTCAGTTAATACTCGTTCAGAGGCCATATACACTGTATAGACAAAAGTATTGGGACACCTACAGGAGCTTTAATGAATCCCTTTCTAAATTCATAGGCATTAATATGGAGTTGGTCCCCCTTTGCAGCTCTAACAGCTTCCACTCTTCTGGGAAGCTTCTACAGATGTTGGAGTGTCTGTGGGAATTTTTCACTCATTCATCCAGAAGAGCATTTGTGAGGTCAGACACTGATGCTGGACGAAAGGGTCTGGCTCACGATCTACGCTCTAGTTCATCCCAATGGTGTTGGATGGGGTTGAGGTCAGGACTCTGTGAGTGCCAGTCAAGTTCTTCCACACCAAACTCACCAAGTCAGGCCTTTATGGAGCTGCTTTGTGCAATGGGGCTCAGTCATGCTGGAACAGAACAGGTTCTTCCCCAAAATGTCTTGGTGCTGAAGCATTAAGGTTTCCCTTCACTGGAACTAAGGGTTCTAGACCAACCCCTGAAAAACAGCCCCATATCATCATCCCTCCTCCACCAAACTTTACAGCTGGCACAGTGCAGGCAGGTAACGTTCTCCAAACCCAGACTCGTCCATCAGACTGACAGATAGAGAAGTGTGATTGGTCACTCCACAGAATACGTTTCCACTGCTTCAGAGTCCAGTGGCGGCGCTTTACTCCACTCCATCTGACGCTTGGCTTTGCGCATAGTGATCTTAGTCTTGTGTGCAGCTGCTCAGCCATAGAAACCCATTTCATGAAGCTCCTAATGTGCAGTTCGTCTGCTGATGTTGCTTCCAGGGACAGTTTGGAGTCTTTAGTGATGATTTAACAGAAGATAGATACTGTGAGCTTCAGCACTCGGCGGTCCACTCTGTGAGTTTGGTGGTCTATCGCTTCGTGGCTGAGCTGTTGTTGCTCCTAAACACTTCCATTTCACAATAATAGCACTTACAGTTGTCTGTAAAACAATAGTTTCACTATAAATATACAGTATTTTACCATAATAATAAAAATATTAACCATCAAAATAAAGGTGATGTTTTGTTTTTGTAAATTTACATTATATTTCTGTATATATATATATATAGGTATAAATATGTATGGTTTATTTACGTGTTTAGCCTTATTTTATTCCAACAGTTACTGACCATTCAATTTTGCAGTACTTTAACAGTGCAGCTCACAAGAGATCAACTATGTTTTTGAAAATAAGAAAACTTTCTATCCTTTTTGTTCTTGTAATCTAAGCAGTGTTTCGGTTAGTTGTCAGGAATGGAAAACAGCAGCGGCAGCTCAACCTTTACTGAACGACTCACCGTAGAACTGATACAACCTTCAGATTAAACACATGGAATGTCTGTTACAAGCTTGAAACGTCTTGTGTTTAATTTAGAATGACCAAAAAACGCTCATGTGAATCACCGTTAGCTTAGTGCTAACGTGCTATTGGAATGCCACGGGGCGCTAACAGAAAATGGCACTATGATATCAGCCAAGATCTGTTTAGTGTTTGAAGTTCTTCTTTAGTTTTAGCAGTAGAGCTACGAGGTGTATTACCCACCAATTAGCATATCATCCCACCAATTAGCAGTGGTGAACTGTGACTATTAGAGCTAGGCCTTCGGTTTGGGTGATAAACGTCAAAAATCAGCCAAAATCTAAGAAAAAAACATTTTTACAATATTGCCAATTTCTGTTAGCGACCAATGGGATCTCGCTGCTGTCGGAGGAAAACCTTGTATCTCTAAAATGGTAACTTTACAGGAGAAGGAAAAAACATACTTTACTTTTAATGTAAGTCAATGGAACCAGAATTCTTTCCAAGGTATTTTGGGTCATTTCTTTTGGTGCATTCTTCATGAAATTTACACAAAACGTAAAGAACAACAGACATTTTCAAATTATGTGAAAAACTGAAAAACAACAAAAATGGAGATTTTCTTCCTACAACATACATACACATATATATATATATATATATATATATACACATATATATATATATATATATATACACACACACGCACACACACATACATAGGTACACTCAAATTATTCAACCCCCTGTTCTCACCCTCATCTCTGTTCTGTTCAAATGTCTGATTCTTCTGGGTGAAATTTAGTTCTTTCTTCCATGTTAAGGCAGATTTGCTGCTTTACCAGGAGTTTTATTATTGATATTGATATTTGTATCACAGGTGAAGCAAATTCAGCATCACTACAGAGCTGCCGAAGGCTTGTTTGTGTTGTTGTGCAATTTTATAGTCTTACAGACTAGCAGTGATTCCAGCAATATAAGAGTTAAATAATTATGACAGGCTGGTTTAGGAAATTATCATTTTACTCAGAAATATGGCATCATACATTTTTACGATCAATTCGAATAGGTCAATCAGACTGACAGATAGAGAAGTGTGATTGGTCACTCCACAGAATACGTTTCCACTGCTCCAGAGTCCAGTGGAGGCACTTTACTCCACTCCATCTGACGCTTGGCTTTGTGCATAGTGATCTTAGTCTTGTGTGCAGCTGCTCAGCCATAGAAACCCATTTCATGAAGCTCCTAATGTGCAGTTCGTCTGCTGATGTTGCTTCCAGGGACAGTTTGGAGCTCTTTAGTGATGATTTAACAGAAGATAGACACTGTGAGCTTCAGCACTCGGTGGTCCACTCTGTGAGTTTGGTGGTCTACCGCTTCGTGGCTGAGCTGTTGTTGCTCCTAAACACTTCCATTTCACAATAATAGCACTTACAGTTGTCTGGGGCAGAACTTCCCTTCACTGGAACTAAGGGTTCTAGACCAACCCCTGAAAAACAGCCCCATATCATCATCCCTCCTCCACCAAACTTTACAGCTGACACAGTGCAGTCAGGCAGGTAACGTTCTCCAAACCCAGACTCGCCATGAAAAGGGATCTTCTATTGTTACAAGGTCTTTTCAAAAAGGTTCTACAGCACGCTCTCCATTAATCTGAAGAACTATTTCATAATGCAAAGAACCTGTTAATCATGCAAAGTCTTCTTTGAGTGTTTCGCGGTTCTTCATAGAACCATTTTCTTTAAGAAAAAACCCTTTAAGAAACATTTTAAGAAAGCCTTTTTAAGAGTGCGGTTATCTGTGTACCATGGATTTTGTTTTTCAGTTGGAAGGGTAAAAATCAATATACAGCCATAATCTGCTAATGTGCCGTCATTAAAAGGCTACAGTACTGGTGCCATTCTTCAGTTTTATGGCTTAAATTAGCTGAAGAATGAAAACTGACTTGTTTAGGACTTGAAGATTAGGACTATTGACTTGGGGCTCGGCAAAGATTTGGATTTGTATGTTTGGAAAAAGGTCTGTCGATGCTATTTTTTAACCAAAAACGTGGGGACTTACATCACTGAATATATTTATAAGCGAATACAAGAAATTCTATAATAAATAAAGTCAAATCACCACCTTCAGATCGATGCTTACTGTACAATATTTTGAATGGTATGGTTTTCAAATGTAAAACAAGCTTGAATTGTTGATTATATGACAAAATATTATGTAACAAAAAAAACACTATACTTTATTTCTTATATTTTTCTGTTCCTATAGTTAAATTTGTGCATTCAGTTTACTTAAACACATTTACACTCCTGTCACTCCAAGACACAACTCGACTCAGCAGTGCTATTAACATGTTTATAACACTTTAATTAATAAACAATTTCACATGTAATTAAGCCCCATGTCATTATAAACAAAGTCCCTTAAAGACAAACAGAGTACAAAACCAGAAATGATCAGGCCTCAGACTTCAGATTCAGATTCAGACAGTGTGATCCAGCAGCTGCACTCACTCTGTTACAGTTATTATAGAAGATTCCTCTTTAAATAATGTAATATATGGGTTCTGACGCAGGACTGAACTCTGTATGTCTACATACTACTGATTTGCTTTGAGCCCATTACTATGGCACAGACCACAGAACACACACACACACACACACACACACACACACACACACACATATATATGTGTATATATCACTGCTGTCTGAACAAAACCTTGCAACCATTTTTCAGTTTTTGACCTTACTTTAAAAATACCTGTTGCTCTTTACATTGTGTGTAAATTTCTTGATGAATGAACCAAAAGAAACGGCTCAAAATGTCTTGGAAAAAACTCTGGTTCCATTGACTTACATTAAAAGTAAAGTATGTTTTTTCCTTCTCCTGTAAAGTCGCCATTTTGGAGATACGAGGTTGTGTTCAGACGTGTTACTGTACGCAAATGTTTGAATATTCTGGACAAATAACATGTTCTGTTGATTTTCTAAGTGTAAAAAAGTGGTCAGAGCCTCTACAGAGAACACACTTTTGCACATATTAATGCACAACTTCTATTCATATGTCGAATTACTGGATACTACTGGAAAATACTGGAGAAAAAAATTATTAAAGGTGCCATAACTTTTGCACAGACCACATTTTATGTTTTTTTCCATATGTTAAATCCAACAAATAAACAGTAATTGTGCATTAAAATGTGCAGAAATGACTTTTCTGTTGTCCAGGGGTGCCCAAACTTTTGCATACAAGCATACAAACATATATATATATATATATATATATATATATATATATATATATATATATATATTTTAAACGCAC